AAAAAAAAAAAAAAAAAGAGAAGGGGGAGCATGGCTTATCCACCTAAGAAAAGGCAAACCACTACATTATGTCAGGTAAAAGCAATTGGGGGTTGGGAAGAGGGGGGAATTATAGGGAGTATGAAGATCATTTTAGCCACAAGATCAACTAAGAACCCATAGGGTAGGTACCTTTTGGGCAGTATGAAGCACAATACTCAATTCAGAGAATGACTTTTAGAGTTAGTGGATAGTGTCCCCAGCAAACATCTGGCTTCCTAAGCCCTACCACATAATGAGCACAAAGTATTGACATCTTTGCTCTTACAAGTTAGGCATGCGCTATGCTCCAGCTCCCTTGGGTAGAATCAATCAAAGAACCTGAGAGAATCTGTGAGTTGAAAACAGGCTTGGAGAAACAATGGAGAATTAAAAGAAATGCAGTTCTGTTTTCTTATCCTGAAACCATTTATCCAATTACTATCAACTCATAACACCGCCAGAACTTGGCCCGCTGATCGCTTGAGCAGGCCTTCTCAGGGAGGCCTGGGCGACCCCTGTACTTCAGTGTTCTCAGCATGGTAAAAAAAAAAAAAAATGAAGTAACGCCAAAGAAAGTAACACACTGTGGTAGAATTTCAATATCTGCAAATAATAATTTCATGCTACTAAAATAGCCAGCACAATGATTACGAGTACAACTTTTTTGGAGATAACATCGAATGTCGAATTGGAGGCCCCTGAGCCAAAAACATGGCTCTCTTCTGGGCTTCCCTGTGATAGGCCATCCACAAGGAACTGGGCCCTCATTCAGGCTTACATGCTACGACAACACACCTTCTCTGGTTTATAAACCCTCTGTGGTTAAAAACATCGAATTCAAACGGGAGGGTGGCTGAGAGTAGGGCGTTTCTTCTGCTTGAGGCAGATGCGAAGGCCATTACCAGCTAAATTACAAGGGAGGAGAACACATAAGTAAAACAACCCAAAAAAATAAAGAACACGGTAGTTTGAGGCCATCTGATAGAGGAAAGAAATAGCCTCAAGTTCAATAAATCTTAAGGTACATGGCATGGTGACTACTTCTACCACTCCGGCCATCACCACCACTACCAGCAGCTCACACACACTGTTCACTATGCTGCCAGGTGCTCAGTGCTTTATATACATTTGCTCATTTAATACTGGTAACAACCCTATGAGGTAGGAACTATTATTCTCCTCACTGTACAGGTGAGGAAGCTGATGCACAGGGAGATGAAGCACCTTATTCTGAATCATACAAGTCACAGAGTCAGGGTTTGACCACTGAAAGTTTGGTTGCATAAACCACACCCGTAACAAGGATGTTAATCTACTTTGCAGCAAAATAATGACTGCACCATCAGGAAAATGCTCAACTATGCTTGCTAGGCTTAGGGGAATAATGCAAGTAAAAACATAACATGGTGCATCTTAGAAGGGATTCCAGCAAAGGAGACACAGACACAGACACAGACACAGACACAGACACACACACACACGCAGTCCTTGTGTTGCATGCAAGTGTGGGACCATAAAAATGACCATGTACAAAGTCACTTTAATAATCAATGGAAAAACTATGGTTGTTCCATGATACATATGAGTTTATGTCAAAACATTAAAAACACTATTGTCAGTTAGTTATACGTGTACAGGGCAATGAAAAACATGGTAAAATAAAAATTTATTTAGTATACTAATTTGAAACATTAGAAACATTGAACAATAAAATGATTTTTACTTATGATATGGAGCGAACATCTTTTCTATGTCTTGGAAAACTGCCAAGGATCAGCTTCCAACATGGTATCCTTTTGCCCTTTCACTATAGTGAGATATCTCAGGGTTCCTTTAATTTGAAGGGGTTTTTTTTTGTTTTGTTTTGCTGGTGTCAATTCCTCTGAGACATCTTCATGCTTTTCTTCATAACCATTTCCTCATTTATGGCGCTAAGTGTGCCTGCACGAATTCCTCTGGCTGTATATCTAAAGTCTTTCCTTTACGGCCACTTTGCTGTCCTACATCTTTCTTCGCTTAAGCTCTTGATGGAGTTGACTTCTAAAAAATATCTATCTCATCAGTAGTAAATGTCTGATGAGCATCCTAACCACCTGCCTGAACTAATTCTTGGATCTGGGTGCTAATTTCACAGCAGCACCCTTTGCCCTGGCAGCAC